GACGAATCACCATCCTCACACCAAACGTCACCTCCTGGCCTGTCGTTGAGAGTCTGTTGGATGCGCTTGCACGTGGAGTTGATGTTCAGCTCCGAACCAGCAAGGGCATGATGCTTATCGAGCAGCTAGTGACGGCTGGCACGACGACATCCTGGTGTTTGCGCAAGTTTATCCAGAGATACAATGCTCTACTCAACCAGCCACGATCATCGGATCCCGAAGCGCAATCGCCTACGCCCGGCAAGCTGGAGATCTTCTACTATAAGCAACTCGACGCCAGACGAGACGAAGAAGATGAACCAGTAGTGAGCCACTTCAAGATGACGCTCGTTGACGACGAATACCTAGTGCTAGGCTCCGGCAACATGGACAGGGCTAGTTGGTGGACGAGTCAGGAAATCGGATTACTATTCTATGTCCCTGGCTTTTCAGGCCAACACCTCTGGAACGACGTCCTCGAGAAGCGTACAGAAGTCTTGTTTCAACCTGACCACCCTAAGCGATTAATCTGATCGCCCCAAACGATGAATCTGATTACAGCTCCGCCGCCTTTATCTTCTCCCAAACGCTCACAAATGTCGACGGATCGTTGGCGCCATGGAGTCGGAACCGGTCCTGAAGAACAAAGTCAGGTACACCACTGACACCACTATATCGCGCCTCGCCCGCAAGCTTGTCAACCTCTGGGCCGCCCTCGTCGCTCTCGACAATGGCCTTCTGGAACTCATCCTCGGGGATTCCCGCCTCAACAGCCACGTTTCTCAAGGTGTCGTAGCTGGTAATGTCGTCGTTCTTCTCGAAGTACGCAGCGAAAAGCCCATCAAGCGCCTTGCTCTCGGCATCCTGGCCGTGCTTCTTGGCAAGCTGGACCAGTCGGTGCGAATCTCTCGAGTTTCCTGTCTGTCCACCGAACTTGAAGTCGATTCCCAGGGACTCTCCGACACCCTTCAAATGCTGGTGCATCTTAACCACGCGGTCTCTTCCGAATTTCTCGAGGTAGAACTTTTCCTTGGAAATGCTCGACGCAGGGCCCCGGGCCCAATCAGGCGCTAGCTGGAAAGGCTTGTAGCTGATGTCGAAAGTGTCGTTTGAGTCGGGGTACTTCTGCTCCCAAAGGCGCTGCGCAGCCTGGAGCTGTCTGCGACCGACATAGCACCAAGGGCAGACGGTGTCAGAAGTCACTGTAACTTTGAACTTTGTCATATTGATGGTGTGTAAGATGATATCTGATGGATGGGACTGCATAGGGGGCGGTTTGGGGCAACCCTCTCGACTTATAAGTGAAGCCATTTACTCGCTGTGCGACGCGATCACCTCAGCCGCTCACGTAATCAGATCGGCGCCGGCGGAAAGTTGAAACCCGCTTTTCTCGGAGTTGGTGGGATACCGAGGCCGGACTGTGGATCCTTTGTTACACGGATTGAGATTTTCTGGTTCCATTACAAAGATGTGATACGTGCTTTGAAATGCGTTCGGAGATTGGAAATGAAGAGATTGCGAGGGATTTTCTTTGTGCTACGAACCTCGGCTCGGTCCTTCGCTGCTCCGTCGAAGGACATGACCGTCGCGATGAAGTGAAACATTTACTTTGACGGCCTTTCAAGAGCTCACTGTAGGGCTACATAAGGATGACGCCAGTCTGTAGGGCTGAACCAAGGAGCTAGATGGACGATGCAGGGAGGGCACCCCCAAGTTAGCCCAGTTTGACTGGGGGCAGTTTGACTAACGACATACGTACGTCGCGGAGGCATGCAGTCTTCGGTGCTATTAATAGCAACAGGCTCAAGTAGAGGCACTTGCGTCTTGTCTGAATTCACAATAGCATGGGCGGGACATTGTTGATCTCAGTCGTCATGTAGTTGCCGCATGTGTTCTTATATCATGATAGATATGTAGAAGTATGATGCTGAAGAGATACGTCAGAATTAAATCCATTCGATCACCCCGGATCCACCATTATTAACACCATCTGACCCACGCATCAAAGTTCTTCAGACATTGCCTGAAACTCAAGTCCTGTAGACTGTACCATCTCTAGGCAGCTTTCCAGTGGCCAAATACCTATCCATAACCTTACTAGTATCGCCTCCAAGGTAGTGACTTGTGTGTCCAGCTCCATTCCTTGTAATGCTCACTCTATGCGTCAACTGCTCTCTCACCCCCTCAGCCCAGGTAAGACTCGTCTCAGGATCATACACCGAAGCCGCAATCAGAATAGTAGGAGCATCTTTGATACCATCTGCCAAAGGCCCTTGTGGATTCTTCAACGGTGCAGGCCAACCGATGCATGTACTCTCATAGTAATACGTCTGCGTGGCACCCCTTGTTCTTGGAGCAAACGTAACGGCGTTGATAAGCTTCTGGCGCAAGTCTACTGAAGTCTTAGACTTGTGCAACCAATCTTGACATCCAATAGCAAGGTAACTATATGGAGAACCGCTCGGATCATTGACAACTTTACCACTGGGAGTTGAAGTCGACAGTGCAGTGGCATTGCCCTTGCTAGCCTGCAGAATAGCATCTCCGAGAGCAGCCCACGTAGATCCAGAGCCAAAGTCCAGATCAACAAAGGTAAGAAACTCTTGCGCATTGTATCGGATTTCTTCACCCGTTACGTCAGAGCGACATGTTCCGTTGCAACCAGGTGCAGGAATAGCTTTGAAATCAGCGCGAGCGAGAGTTTCATCCCAGATGCGGCTGGAATTCTTCCCATGAAGAGCGCATGTTGAGTTCTTATCGCACCATTTGAAGAATTGGTCGAGGACAGTCTCGTAGGCAGTTGCTTCTGCAAGAAGGGTTGCTATCTCGGACTGGGAGTGATCCACGTTTGCGTCGAGAGCCATACGGCCCACGGATTTCGGGAATAGAGATGCATATGTTGCACCGAGTAATGTGCCGTATGAGAGACCGAGGTAGTTGAGTTTCTCAACACCAAGAGCTTTGCGTACGACTTCATGGTCCTTCGCAACATGGACGGAGTCAAGATGGTTGATAAGAGGACCAGTAAGCTTGGCACAGCTCTCACCCACGCTTCGACTGTAGTTGAGCAACGCATCGTACTCTTCATCCGTAGTAACGAAAGTCTTGACCCTCTTGTTGAAGACCTTGGGATCGCATTGTACAGGACTGCTTACACCAACACCACGGGGATCAAGACCGATGATATCGTACGCATCACGAAGTTCATCCGAGAAAGAAATCGCCGAGACGTATGGTGATCCAGCGACGGTGATAGCTCCAGATGCACCAGGTCCACCGGTATTGAAGAACAGAACACCGTGTTTTTCGCCTTTGCCTGTATGGTTCAAGCGCGTGAAGACCAGTTCAACTGTATCATCTCCCTTGGCAGACGTAGAATTCCCGCTCTGATATGCAAGAGGGACATTGATTTTCCCACAATCGACACCCGGTGGAATCAAAGAAGGACATTCTCCCCAGCTTATCTTCGGGGCTGATGATTTCGTCGCCGCAGCGTTAATAAACCGCAACAGTCCAAAAAGGACAAGAGACTTTAAAAGTGCCATTATAAGCAATTGAGCATAAATGATTTGGTCTGAGAAGAAGAGGGCATGGTGAGTTGTTATATGTTTCCCTCAATGAGGCTGCATCGTGCTGACTACCGAAAGTCAATTGGAGCCGTGTGTTCCGTGGACGGGAGATGAATGGACTAGCTAGTGCTGACTGCTACCACAGACGTCATTGATGTGCAGAAATGGAACCATTGACCCGATGGCCGGATTCGCATTCGTTTTGATAGGTTTGGACGTATTTGCTTACGAGGGATTGGCTTTGGTGCGGTTGAGGGTGGGGATGGTGATGAGGAGGTTGGGGTTGCGCTTAGTATAGACGCGGTCATTCAATAGTCTAGTATAAGTTGTTTTAGTGTAGTCTAGTATATAACTGACTATTTCTTTGAGATTGGCTATCTCGTATTCTTCAATTGCATAAATTGATACGTTAATCTCTATGTTAGTAGATAGATTCTGTTATCTTACCGCCTGAATTGAGAGAGCAAATTTATGTACTCTCAGTCTGGCGCCATTATTGCTATGACTATAGAAGCATTATAGTATATGGATATCATTCATCTGCCTAATTCAAGTAGTGCCTCCGGTAATGGAGTCTTCTTCATGCTTAAATGACAACGATTTTAGTGAGTCTGTTCTGTGTCTTGCGATCTTTCAAAGTGAACATCGTTGTGGATGAATGTCTCATTCAATCGGCCAGGTTGCAATTACGACTCCCTTGGTAGATTTCCTGGTGGATAGCAGCATGTATATCCTATCCATTCGCGAGTTGTACTGTTGAGAAATCATAGGTTTCAGGAGCTACATCGAACCATCGTATGAAGGACACTGAAGCAAGGGACAGAGAATGCAAGCTGCTCCAGTAACAATTGAAATCAGACCCGATTCTGATAATAAGATGCTAGGGCCTTCCTTGTAGCCTGACGTAGCAGTGTGAAGGCCACTCATTGGCAGCGTGCCGAGATCCAAGCTGGTGCGCCGTAGTTACAAGGGCGAAACTTGTTGCAGTCCTCAGGCGATCTACGATGGGTTCATGCTGTTTTCGACGCTTCTATGATTGAAATTGACTGTCCAAGAGGCATTTGGAACGAATTTTTGAATTTTCGAAGCATTGGTGAAGCATGTGTTCTCTTTGGCATCTGGTTTGTCGCATCAACCGCCTCACCCAGATTAAGGGGTATTGAGGACCGAGTCAAAGAACAGCGCCACGACAACGCAACTTGGCAATCAAGGGTTCCAAAGTCAGATCGACCATATCTCAAGCCATTCAACATCACTTTTGTCAATTACATAAGAGCAAAAAAGGGGGAGCCTGTGCTTGCGGCTACGCCCCTTTCTGAAGCCATATACTGCAAAGAAAGGTTCGCAAAGCACTGGGCATGCCTACTAATTCCCCCTCGAACGCTAAACGAACGGGTTTTACCCCCGAGTGGTCCCAGGGGACAACTACCGGGTCTGCAACTCCCACCCAGACGGAGCGGACCGGAGTCGAACCGGCGGACTTTGGATTCACGTCTGGCGCGCTTCACCATGCTTTAACCACCCAGCCACCGCTCCGGTAATTGTTGAAAACAATGTCTTTGTTTTTGGGTTATAAAGGTGTGAACGATCTCATGCTGGGGAAGGTGGTGGAGCGCGCTTTGTTCTGTTGTGGTATCTGCTCCTTCCTGCGTTGAGAGCTGGGAGAAGGAGCGACAGCAGGGGAAGGGACAGGAGGGGCGCGGTTGATGGGCCACATGTGGCTTACAGGACCAGCAGCACAGTGCTGTTCATTACGCGCAATGAAACGCTGAGCGAGTTTTGTCAGATGACAAGGTGAGAAAATAAAAGGGGAGTGAGTTCAGATGTGGTCGAAGAAAAATGGTGCGCTAGATATCTCTGGGTTTCACGTGACTCACGTCATGGGGAAGATCGCGGACGGCTCTAGCGGGCACCACTCCGACTTCATGTCTCCACTGAAGTGGCATGCTTGGTTAAATATGGCAATGGAATATTGAAGTATGAGGAGTACAGGGCTTCCAGCAAAGTATATTAACTGTTTTTCCAAGCCAAACGATCTCCTATTACTACGCTAAGGTAACTACGTCATTACAAGACCAATAGACCATCATTGCCCCTTTAAGTGTTGAACAGAAATGCGTGTTCAGCAAGTCAGGCCGTGAAGAAAGAATGGAATAGAGAGATTCGATCGGGGTTCGAATAGAGGGGTTTGGGACAGAGCTCATTTGAAAGTGGAAGACAGAAAATTAAAAAAGAAGAAAAAAAATCATGCGCTGTGACCGCTAGGCCACAGCAGTGCATGGTGAAGCGTCGCCAGACAGCCCTTTACTACATAACTCGACCTATAGCTGAATTAGTGACCCTAAGAATAGCGGAGCGACAGAGATAGCACGGTTCTCGAACTGAAGAACGATGAAACAGAGTTTCATTTTAAGACCCAAGGGTAAAAAAAAGACACACGTTCACCGTAACCATTAGGCCACGGCTAGCATGGTGAAGCGTCGCCAGACAGAGACCTTACCATGCAAACTCAGCTATAGCCTTTCGAACCAACCAGTGGTTTATTCAGTCTTGATTACAAAAGTGCTCTCGAACTTGGGAGGTCTTGAACAGAGTTTCATTACACAGCCCAAAAAAGGCACAATGTTCGCCATAATCATCAGGCCCTTAGTTACCGGACCTTATATAGCTATTGCAGCTTCTCATACGCGTTAGTGGGGAGACAGCCGCCCGTTTGTCGCTATATGGACAGACACGGGATGGGATATACTGTCGGCAAGCTTACAAGACCACATTGCAGAGATGGTACAGAGGGAAGCACTTAACAGGGTCGATGCCGAAGAGGCAATACTCATGTTTGATCTTCGCGACTACATCCAAAATGCTGCTCAATATGCCCAACCCTCAGTCACTACTATGAACTGGGATCGACCACAAAAGAGTCACCATCTCCTGCCTTCATATGATTACGGCTTTGCACGAATGGGAAGAGATCAATAGACCGAGCATATTTATATGTTTCTTGAGATTTATCTCGTAGATATCTTTAGAGAACAGGGGCGTTGGCTGGGTGGATGGTCTAGTATCGACAACGAGGACGCGAAGGGTGTCTGGGAAGGAGCCTGGGGAGCCAAAAGTTACTGTCACTCTCTGAAATCCTGGCGATGGTCGATTCCAAGTTCTTCTCAACAAACTTAACCACACGAGAATGCGACATCTGGTAAAAAGCACATTATCGCCATCACCACGAAAGAAACGCCGCTCGTCAAGATGTCCGAGTCTGTGAAGACTACCCCAAATGCGACAGCAAGCCAGATGCACACCTCTACCCGGAAATCCGCCGCCCAAACTCGACGATACGCTCGCAAGGTTCCAAGAAAACCTTTGCAATAACCCAACGGGACACCAAGCTTCAACGAACTCGTCATCGATACTGCAATGCTTATGAAGGAAGGAGCAACGAATCACAGCGCAGAAGTACTTCGTCAAATTTCTGAAGTGGAAGAGGGTTGGATCTGGTGCTATCGCTCGAAGATCGGGCGGGCGAGACAGCTTGGAGACTTGCGAATGACCAAAACACTCGGGAGTGGTTCAACATCAAAGCCGAGCAATTACCCCTGACTCGAACACTGTTGCTGGTGCGGCGTGCCGATCCTCTCCTCCCTCGACGCGCCAGACGATCTTCTCAAAGTAACCATGCGGTTAAAGCCATCGAAATTCAGCAAAAGAAGGCCCCTTGACCTTTGGCCTTTTGTGAACACTTTTACACTACCCATGCCCCTAATCTGCATCTGAGTGACCAGGCGAGCGATATTTGCATTCAATCTAATACCGAACCAAATCCGGCTACTGACAACTCGTAGAAGAAAAGAAACCATGATCTCAACGACCTCCAAGATCCATATCAGCGTGCAGCCCATCAGCAAGCATCCACCATGACTGAAGTGCTTGTGGTGAACGTGAGGAAAGCACATGCACAGAGTTGCCAATACCCGCGTTACAAAGTCTCTGGAACCAAAAGACATTGGCTGGCAAAAATGGGACGTCTTCGGAGAAGACGAGTCTAGACTCTAATGGCACTGAGACTGTTCCTACTGGCTGGTATTCTATAGCTCAGTGTATCTGACAAAGCTTGTCGTATCTCAGCGAGATACAGCGAGCCAACACGTTTACAAAACCTTATTTCTCTCATACTTTAGGCAGCAAGCACGGGCACTCAATACAGAGGGTTTCTCGCAACATTCAAACACCAGCCTCTTATTTATTGTATTGAGAAGTGGTCAATCTATATGAATTTACTTCTATTATCGTCTTTCCCTGGAGCTCTCACCAAATCAAGCCAGGATACTTTCGAAGCTCACTAGCAGGCTTATGATGGCAAGAGGCACTTGAAGCGAGACAGCCCTGTCTATGTCATATATCACTAAAATGAAAAGCCGGACGTGTTTATGGCTCCTTGGGCGATTTTTGGGCAGTTTCTCGGCATGTGTTGTTTCGCTCATGTTACCGAGATCTCAGGCGACAACGAATCACCACTTTCATCCTCGAACCCTCAGGACCTTCATTGCGGTAGAAACAGCCATGTCCCACTCGTGGCACCATTGACTGCAGCATAGGCTCTTTGGGCAAGCCCGTAAGCTGACTTGATGTGTCAAGATGGTATCCTTCCTGAAGGGCCATCAGCTGATTCTTGCGCTGACCCTTTGTCTTCATTCCATTAACTTCCCAACTAGGAGAATCCATTACGTAGCTGCATCTTGTTCTGCATAAGACGTGAAGCTCAATGTAAGAATGGGCTGGTCTGGAATGGTCCTTGCAGATCATAGCGCAAAGCGGCACAAAAATGAGGCGTCTTGCCCTGAAACCGCGTATCTAAAATTGGCAAATCATCTCTCCGGTATGGATCACCACTGAGCATGCCTGTTCAGCTAAGGCTTTCTTAAGTGTAGTGATGATGGTACTGCGTCATGGCTTGTACTATTGAAGTGGTTATACGAGGTGGCTTTCATTTCCCCGTGGTACTGTAATCACGGTCTAGTGTAGCGGGTGAATGAACGGATCCGTCTTATGCTAGACTGATTCGAATTGATTAAGCTTATTTAGAAACTTATAACTGCCGACTTCCCCGCAAGAATATTGATTAATCCTCAACTTGATTCTTCCCATTACTTCACAATGTTGTTTCAGAATATCCTCATTGCCGCTTCCATCGGCCTCGCCGTCGCCTCTCAATCCTCCGGCCGAGAATGCGGTCGCAAGATTGCACCTTGTCCCGAAGACACCACCTGCAAGCCAATTCTTGCCAACTGCAAAGATCTCAACAAATGCTCAGGCATGTGCTACTTCAAGAATGAATATCAAACCTGTGGAGGCTTTCGCGCCAAGCCTCCTCCGCCTTGCAAGAAGGGGACTCACTGTGTTGATGACCCTCGAACTCCTGGGGACTGCGGCATGGCTTGTGATAAGCCTGGCATCTGTGCGCCCAAGAAACTGTACACATGCGGAGGTTTCACGGGAAAGAAGTGTCCCGAGGGTCTGTACTGCTATGATGATCCGTCGGATGACTGCGATCCTAAGAAAGGAGGGAATGATTGCTCTGGAATTTGCTTGTAGGGAACAGCTTTGAGGTTCACGAGTATGATGCGGTTTACGGGATTCATGTTTGCCTATGTTGGGAAGCTATCTGATGAATATAACGAAATGCCCAAGGGATAAGCATCAGTGACAACTTTATGCATGACTTGTCTGCTGTGTAAGATCTTGACTGATTGAGCAGCCAATTAAGCCGAGATTCACCTACGCCTCGGGGAAACGTTACTATTACAATTCCACGGCCTCAAAATATTCTCACGTGTTCAATTTGGGGAATCACAAGCTGAAACACCATCAGCTGTAAAAACGGGTGATCGCCGTGCATGAAATTCGCCCCATAATGCGTTTCAAAACATTGGTGTCAAACACGTAATTTAAACCAAATGTCCAAGCTCTACCAATTGTTTCTTGAGTTGCGAATCCTTCCATTTTGATGGCATTTTGCGAAACGAGATTGGATGATTTATTTGGAGAATTGACCAATAATCGTGAATCCTTTTCAACGCCAAACACGGGATGTTTCATGAACGGGGCTCCAAATTAATTGCTTCGGGGCATGATTGCGATCAACGCAAATAAGCCAAAGGGTTTCTATTCATGTATGTACCAGCCGAAAATATGTTCCAAATGCTAGAGAATTGTATCAAGCCGTGCGCTTTTACAGCAATTGCCAAAATGCGGCCGCAACACCGACAGCAGCGTAGAAGTTGGGTCCCGCCAAATTGGCGACGTTGGAACCATCGGTCGGAGACGGAGTTGCAGTCGCAGTATCAGCAGTCCCAGTAATCGTAACAACAGAGTCATCGGTAGTCTGATCAGCCGTGGCTTCAGCTGCATTGCCCGATGCGCTCGACTCGGTCGTTTCTTTCGGCTTGCTGACTGTGGTCTTGATCGAGGTTTCGGTTGTTTCACCAGCTGATGACTCCGAAGGCACCTCGGAGGTCTTGTCACTTGAAGTCTCTTCA